GTTGTCTCATATACCTAATTATCACCTCCCATTGCGTATCATATCAACTAAATTAGAAAATCTTATTAAACATGCTTTTAAGATGATTTTCTGTGTCCACACGTGATATAAATTGTCTATAATGTTCAAAGTTTACTTTAAATATTAGCAATAAGGTTCATATATGTAAAAATATCCCCTTTACAAGAAATTAACAATGAGATTACTGTAATAACTACTCATACTTTAAATAAAAGTGCGTTAATTATTTCTTGTAGAATATTCGGTTCGAAACTGTCGTGAATTTTAATGAGATTTTGCAAGTGAATTTTATTTATTTCAAATGCAAATTTTTCAGTATATTGCAGTTTATTTAAAAGGAATAGCACAGTCAATTATTCCATTTAAAATTATTTTGAGTTTTAGCATAAATTTACGTACATTGTTTCATGATTCTATTAATTACTCAAAGAGAAGCAAAATTAAAACGAACAGTTTATATCTAGAGTCAAAGAGAAATAATAATAATTAAAGTCATTCCCTCTTCAACTGCTACTAATTAACTTATACGTGGGAAAAATATAAAAAACGTTCTTTAATCGTTCAACTACTTTTTTGTTTTGCTTGGTTTCCTAACATATAATAATCTTTATATGTTAGGAAGCTAAGGCAACTTGTAATAGGTTCCCATTCATGTTTTAAGCTCCGAAAGACATGTCCGAGATTATTTTGCTAAAATTCTTATTACAATAATTCGCATGCATGACGCATATACATACAACCAGCCAATGTGTAGCATTTTATGCGGTTCTGATTACATGAATAATACATGAGAAATCTAACTGCTTGTAACGTTTTGATCACATTTTAGATATTTTTGGTTTATTCGTAAATATTTTGTATTATGTTCCGAAGAAAGCGATTTATTCATATGCACTGGTTTCTTCGATGCTTTATATTAACTATTCTGTCTCTTTTATTCAAATAAAATACTATATTTTAAATAAAAACGACTGGAAACTGAGAATGTATTTTTCCAGTAAAATGACTGCATTCTTGGGAAACATTTTTTCTTTTTCTTTGCCTCTGCATCGCAATATGAAGGGCAGTACGTCATTTCATTGAAATGTTGCTTCAGAGCGGATGACTGATGATGCATGTTTAGATAAGCCTCTTCATCCATCATGCATATCTTGAGCTCCTTAAACAATATCTTCCCATGGCTTAAAACTTCTTTAAAAGAATTTGTTGCCAAATTTAAAATTAAATTGAGATGATGAAGATCTTTTTAAGGAAAATCAATAAATAGAATTAATTAACAGTTATTTATTTCAACAATAACCTACTAAAAGCTAAAACTTTGCAGAGAGTGGCAAACAGCAAGATCGTTGCTTAGACATGCAGCTGGATATAAAACTACAGATTTGCTTGCATCTTTGCTCTGCAATTTACATCAACTCTTATTTGGTTTGGTTTATTTAATTATGGCAAAGCACACTAGGGCTATCTGCCTAAGGGGAGGGATGCCTTCGTGGAGGACTTTCTAAGGGAACAACTCTTATTTGGAATTTCGGTTTGTTCCTACGTTTCATTTACCGGAATTTTGTTACACTTTCTGCAATAGCAAATTATATCGAAGCATGCGAGAACATGTGCTTTAGGGAAGGAACTGTTTCGTGAGCACATTTTAAAGGAAAATGGAACGTATTCCTCTTACACATAAGAGTAATGGTGAAGCCTCCCTGGCAGTCAAAACGTTCATCAGGGTAGCAACCCGTATTGAAATGCCAGTGTTCAACATTTTTTCAACTCTGCTTCTAATGAGTTTTCTGCATTGTAATTTGCTGAGATGTTGCTTTCAGGTTTACTAAAAATGAATAATCAATCACTGTTTTCCGTTACTCTTGACAACGAAAGGCGTTTGAATACTTTAAATCACTTATTTTGATCACATACACTATTCAACCGACATCTGATAGAGACACAAGATCAATATCTACGTACGTTTTAATGTTTTATTTTTACTTTAATTAAAAATATGAATTTTATTCAGTTCTATCTTATTTATGAATTACTTATTTCAAGCAGAAGTATGAAAGCTGATACAAAAAATCTGAAAAATATTGCTTCTATGAAGGCCACGCATCATAGGAAGCAGTGATTAATGAAATGCATGCACTATGATCTGGCACGTTTTGCTATTATTTACTATTTTTATTTTCCATGCGGTTTCAGAAATAGCTATAATTCCCAAAAACATAACACCTTATGTTTCAAGTTTAATCATTATGCAATTATTTAAAGTTCTGTGTGAATAAAAATTGTAAAACGAATTTCTAACGTTTTAAATATTAGTTTTATTATACTTTAATATATTTAGGCGATATAATGTTAAATGCTTTTAATTCCTTCATAATATTTACAATGAATATTTTTATGAATTTTTGAAAAATTATTTTTATTAGTAAAATATGTTCCTACCTCTTTATATTATATGTTTGTGCGCAAAATTTTTAATTACCTTTATAACAATTTAATTACCTTTATACAATTATAACAATTTAAAGGTAAAGTTGAAAATTTGTCCTGATCTATTGGCTTCAAATAAAAGCTCTCGAAATGGGATACACAATCTTGTATTCTGTCTTTGGGAGCGGTTAAGTTAAGTACAGTATTTTTTACTGAAAATTATTTATAAAGAATCAAAACTTTCTTTGTCGTTTTATTCCATATACCTCTTATTAAATTTCAGACTTAATGTAATAACACTGCAGAAAAGCTGTTTGATATTTCTGTGAAATCTGTAAAGCCTTTTATGTGTTTTAACTAATTATTGGGATTTAAACTCTTACTATAACTTTCTATTGCTCTCACCAAAATAGAAATTAGATGCTTTATGCATTTAAACTGAAGGTTTTGAATGTTTAAACGGGAGCTTCTGACAGACGTAACTTGCTATGTTTTACTATCACCAGTTCTCCATTAATCGTGTTCCGACTTCAGAATCTTGCTAGTCGACATTTTTAAAATAAGCGCTATTTTCCTAGAAATTTCGTCTGCCACACAAGCTGTGTCTTTCTGTTCATTTAAATTTTAAATAAAAAAACTGATGCGCGTACCACATAACTTCCGTGCACGACCTGTTGAATTACATGCATTTTTACTGCACTTCATTTAAACTTATTGTTTCTAATTAATTTAACTTAACCCTCTCGCCGTCCTTTCCTGTCCGCGAAATGTTCCCCCCAGCGGCCGTCTGTTTTTCGTAGTGTGTAATGTTGTTTTCCCTGTACATCATAAATTTCTATGCCTGACTTTCATAGTGGATGAATGCCAATGAATATTAAGTTAAATTATAAGGAAATAAAACATAATGGAAAAATAATAATATCTCCGCTTATTTTCTAACAGCAGGATAATTTGATAACATCTGATGCAGGTGGTCCACTCCTGCCATTTTGTTGTTGTAATCTTTTACAATTATTGTTTTTTTTACTGTTATTTTCCGTGTTTCAACATCAATCATCGAGTTATTATGGACTGCACTCATCAAACGTATATCCTTTTCGTCTTTCCAATTCACAACACTTTTCTCTTTTTCTGCTGAGTAGACGTTGAAGATCTCTCACTGTTTTACATATTTTGCAAAATGGTGCGAATATTCATAAAACCAGGGGGAATTCAATTAGAAATAGAATGCCTGATTAATGCTGCCCTCTAGGAGGTATTAGAACATCCAAAAATAAAAACTCAGACAATTAAACATTTAGAAAGCATTTTAAGCGTTTAAGTTTTTAAATGTAGAAGAACGCTTCAAGCGCGTTGCGACCGCCCTGCGGAAGTTTCATTTGAACGCACTCGACGCGTTACGGACGACGAAAAGGTTAATTAACCGAACCCTCAATGCAAGTTGAAAGTGAAATAAAAAATTGCAAATCTGAAAATTAAATATATCATGTGGATTTTTGTCACACGGGGATCAAACTTCTTATAATTTTACTTTTTCACAACGAGTGTAAAACTGTTCCAATTATAAGTATAGGAAATGAGAGACCGCATTAAAAGTTATACTTCGTTATTTGTCGAAAACTAATTTACTTTTGATATGAAATTACCAATATGAATACTTCTGTAATTGGAAGTCTATGATTACGACCCAAGATTGCGAAAATATGTGTAATTAGGTGGGTATATATACGAGAGTCAGTCAAAATGTTAAATGCACTGCCTAAGAAAACAAAACAGGAGCAACATTTTACAATACCCTTATTGATATCTTAAAGTTACATTCAAAAATCTACTCTTCAACGTAATTACCTCCGTTATTTGAGCATTTGTCGAGGCGTGGTATAAGTGTTTCGATTCCTTCTGAAAAGAAATTCCGTCCACTGTCCAATAACCATTGTTAAGCTGCAGCTTTCACTTTGGCATCCGAATAGTACCGTCGCTTGGAAAGTTTTTGTTTCATGGGACCAAACACATAGAAGTCAGGAGGAGAAAGGTCTGGGATATAAGGAAGGCGATTCCACACTTCCGACCTAAACTGTTCAGAAGGTCACACGTGTTTGTTTTGCTGCATGCGATCTTGCATTGTCATGCAGAATCACAATGCTGTTCGACAGTTTACGTGGCCGTCGATTTTTAAGAGATTGCCGCAATCGTTTTAGTGTTTTACAATAAGATGCATTAATTGTGGCACCCTTCGGCATGACCTCTGTATGCACCACGCCTTCTCTGTCGAAACACAGTGTCATCATCACCTTTCCTGCAGATGGAACAGTTCGATACTTTGTTCGTGTCAGGGAACTGCAATGCAGGTTTCGTTTCCACTCGAGTGAGCTGCCTTTCGTTTCAGGTAAGAAGTTGTAAATCCAAGTTTTATCTCCAGTCACAACTTTGTCCAAAACCCATTTCCTTTTGTTTGGTAACGTTGCAAAAATGCAAATGCGCTTTCAAAACTCTTTGCTTTATGTTCCTCCGTCAATATGCGTGTCACCTATCGAGCCCAAACTTTATGAAATTTAAGGTGATCGGCAATAATTTGTGCACATTTCCAGTTCATTTGAGATTTCTTCTGTCGTTATGTGTCTGTTTACCAGAATGCATTCATTCAGGCGAACAGCGAATTCTGAATTTGTTGCAGTTGATGGTTTTCTCTCGCGCTCAGCGTCGTCAATATCTGTGCGTCCATTCTCAAACATCTGGAACCATTTCGCGATAGCTTGACGTGACATTGCATTTTCACCATACACTTCATGTAACTGCCCATAAATTTCAGTGCAGTTGCACCTTTTTACCCAAAAAATGCGAATCACTGGACGCATTTCCAATTTGGACGCTATTTGCAGCTGTCGAGACATGTTTGCGACAGATTATCAGAAAAACTAAAATTGGCTCGGAGAAACTGATACGTCACGCGATAAAGATACATGTCTGAAGTGTTGCCACACAGTGTCATCCAAATAGTCTTAGACAAAACATATTTACGCAGTAGTGCAACAAACTTTCTGACTGACCTACATACATAGTATGCATATACGTTTGGTGCTGTCAATTACAATATAAAAGAGAGATACACAACTAGATGTTATAGCAGTCCCATACATTAGGTTTCAATGTCATACAGCTAATCGGTTTTGAGTTATGCGAAATGTATACATACGTACACACGTACGTAGGCATTATGAAGAATCCCTTTTGAAGTCATTTAAATCCATTTTGCAGTCCATTCTGTAAACAAGCGTCCTTTATTCTTGGGTGAATCAAAAAATTGCCCAAATAGATTAGGAAAAGATCAAAATGAATATTTTCAATGAAGTATGATACCTGCAATTTTGCACTACTACAATACTTCCTTTAATTTAAAAAAAGTACAAAATGTTATTTTAGCCTTCTTTAGACTCTATGATTTATTTCGGTTGAAGGGATAACTAGCTATCTGTCTAGTAAGGTCTTGAGGAATTTGACATGAGTTTTCGATATACAGAAGAACGTTACAAATGTTTTTTAACTATTTAGGTTTGTTAAACGTGTCGAAGGCATGTCAATTTGACGTATTGACGGCATGATAAATTGAACTAAAAATATAAAATAAACAAATTTCTTTTATTATTTGCTTTGATTCATTACTCATTAGCTTAAACGGCGTTTAGTTGGAAAGACTATTAATTTCGTTTTGGCATTCGAAACCTTTAAATTTCCGTTTCTCTTTGTAGTTGTTGCCACCAAATATCATCGCCCTGTATTTTAGTTAAAGAAATTTACTAATGAACAGTCTGCATGAATTGGTCTATGTTTCTCGCACTGTAAAAAAACAACGATACATACAGGCATCAAATTTTTGAATAACGTAGTCTTTCATCGGAATATGGACTACTGGCAGTCCGAATTTTTAATTTTGTTTATTGTATATTTCATATTTTTTTATTTAATTAAAAACCTCAGTGATTTCACAGCGACCAATGGCGACACTATACGGGGAAAAACATTTTTTTTTTCGAGCGCGAGAGATTCTCTATCGGAAATTCTAAATATATGTTATTGTTAAATATTTTACTGTGTATGTCCAGTTTTGTAAAACTTTAACGAATTTTTGATTAACAAACTCAACGATTTCAAAGCGAGAAATTGCAACACTGTACGGAAAGAAGCATTTTTATTTCCAGCGATGCGAGACTATCTGTCCAAAATTCTAAAGACAGGTTATTTTTAATATTTTTAGCCAAAAGGAACATTACTTATTTTTTCCTTGCTTAAGCTGTAATTTTCAATTAATTGTTTTGTCTATTGTAAGTATAAAATATATTTGTGGACTTTGCAACTGATTTCTGCATCGGATGATTTTTTCTTCTTACCAAAGTTTTAATTTTAGAAACTTTAGAAACTGTATGTACTTTTTCGGGTGATTGTTTGAAGTCTTATTTCCTTGCTTTATCGTTTCTTTCTTTCCGATAAATAATGCTGCGCATTTTTTACTTAACCATTTTAATCCTATACATTTCATAGAGTTTTCGAAGCATTGAATAGGAATATAAGTTTCTAAATCACAAATTTAATAATAAAAAAGATATTAATAAATATATATCAAGTTCAATTAACACTGAGGAGCTAACATTTTGAGAGATAATTTTTTTTTAAGCTACTCCTGCGATTTGGAAGACTTGGCAGTTTGGCATAATTTGAGTCGTAGAATCGAAATATGGAAAACAATGGCATGCCATTTCAGAAAAAGTCCGATTTTGTATCAAAATATCTATATTATAACAGTGCTATATATAAATCTAATACATATCCTAAGTCGTGCTTTCGATGCATGAAAAACGTAAGCTGAATTTCGTCCAGTAAAACGGGAGATATAGAACTGTTCTTTTTTTTTTCTTTTCGCAGTGGACCTAAATTTTATTAAATCTGAAATTGTTATTTTCAGCCCTTATGATTTTTCTTTATACAAAATAGAAAATCGTTTATGTTAAGTATTCAAATTAGAACGGGAGACTTTTAAACATTCAATGATGAATAGCTAACATGTAGACAACACCGGTTAGAATACAAGCAAAACCAACCAGAAGTCCACTTATGGCAGTAGTCATGATAAGTCGTGACGTCATACCGTGACGTTTCATAACTTCCTGTTCGTTGCGTAGGGCGTAGGGCTTACTCCATTTATTCTAAATTCCTTGTCCCAAGTAATATAAAGTTACCAGAAATGTTTATTCCAAGACATTTGCTTTTTTATTCTTTATCGAAATTGTTCTACAATGCGTAAACACACACACACACAAAAATTATAATAAATACATTCATCGTTAATTCATCTAATGTGTATTGTTAAATTAGGCAAAACAGCGACCTTGGGTGAAGTAGATTTATACTAAATTTAACAAAATACAAAGCTGGTGTTTTGCGGAATTTTAATTTTTACTCTGAAATGTTTTTTCTTCTCTCTTGGTTTAAGCTTGTAGAGTCATTAGGATTTTGATGCTGAAGATGGGAAAAATGAGCTATCTGGGACTCGAACTCTGGACCTCTCAACACTCGCTGAGTGTGCTAACCATTACTCCACGAAGACACGTTGGAAGGAGGGAGAAAATACCTTATAAGCATGTGTTTTGCCAAAATGCAATCACTAATAATATTTAGGTTTTGATAATTCAATGATGCATAATAATTAATGTCATTGAGGAATGAAATATTTTCCACTTGTTTAACCAATGTCATCCACAAGCATATCTCAGTCAGGCAAGAGAGTTTCCGCACCAACCCACTAATGCATCTTCAGCAACTAGTACACTAAATCTTACTTTCAGACTAACTTATAGTCTTAATTTGCATATCCAGCAAAATTCAGATTCTCAACATATTTTTAAGTTTTTACTCTTTCCTCTTTATATGGCTTCTCCTCACGTCGACGTCACTGCATTCAACCATTTTCAGCAGCATTATTTTGATGCCATAAAAGAAACTCATTCAAATGGAAAAGAAAGAAGTTTATTCTACATTCAATTCAAATTCAGACAAAATGCTGTTATTTTGGCAGTGTGAATGTAAACGACCCGAAAATATGATAAAACGTGAAACTGACTGTGTGAAATGCAGAGAAGGAACAAAATTACCCGTCTAAAAAGAACTGCAGATGACTATTTTCATAGTTTTGTTTCCCTTTCTTCTCTCTTAAATTTACTTAAAAAAAAAAAAAAAAAAAAAAAAAACCTTCGAAAAAAGCAATGGTACTTTTGAAGCATTTTTTTTTGTTCTTTCGTTCGGTTTAAAACATCCAATATTCGCAGCTGCCGCCAAAAATTCATCCCTCCCTTTCCAAAGTGACGGAAAATGAACATAAAGAAACCGCTATGTATGAAGGCAGTTTGCAGAGAATAATAGCTGCATGAAAGAGTTGTCGAAAAATTGTTCAAAACGAATAACAGTCACAAAAATTCTGACAAAAAAATGCCATTTTTTATGTACTAGAGAAGTAGCAAGCGTTTCGACTTGGATTCACACATTTACGAAGAAAGTTACAAGAAATCCCTAACGGATTTTGCGTTAGGTTTTTGTATTGCAGACAAAAGAAAACAAATTCTTCGACAAAAACAAGTCCGATGTTTTGTAATTCTATTCATAATAATGTCTGTGTTTGCCACTAAAATATTACAAACGTGAAGCGAAATATTTTTAGCAAGTTCTGAATGAAATAACCCCTTAAAATATAGTGTCCTCTTCTAATTCATGACATAATAATAGTAATAAGATTTAGATAAAAATTAGCTTTACCTACCGTTTCGATGTCCATTAAACAAAACGTCGAATTGCTACAAAAAATGGACGAAGGCATATCCGTCTCAAAATTATGCAAGGAGTATGGCATTGGAAAGTGGAATGTCTGTGAAATAAGAAAAAAAAAAAAAGAACTTTTTCAATTATTTGTGGATTCCGACACCCAACTCGCAATGAATAACTGAAAAAATAGAGAAGTTTGGAATTTTGAGAAATTATCATTTGATTTCAGTTTGACTGCTATTCTTCTGTGTGGAGAAATTTAAATAGAAATTTCTAATAAAAATGATGGTTGCTATCATATTGTGTATTTTTTAACTGAAAAAAATTATATTTTTTAGAATGGAATGTTGTCTATTTTCTTTCCATACACTGAATCGAAAGTCATATCTGAGATTTTTGCTAACTGTGATTGATAGTGGCAAATAAATCTGTTGTTATCTAAAATCCAGAAAAATGGCCTTGGGAACAATACTTGCTTGCTCATAAAAAATCTAAAATATCTTTATAGTTCTGCTTTAGTTCTTGAAAGATGCAGGCAGATTGACTCTGCATAAAAGTTCCCATCTTAACTGGATAGTTTTTACTAATATTCGACGGTTTGAATGTCATTTGATTTGACCGGAGTCTATACCAGTTACCGCTAAGTACTTAGTTTTTCTAATAGTGTCATTTTTTTCCTGTAGCTCTTTCTCATATCGTCCATGGTAGACAAGATATTAATTTGCAGGAACGATTATGTATCTTCCAGCCCCTTGTGTGTTTCCTGAATCAGTGTCATTTTTTCCAAATCTTCAGGTATTTAGGGAATGAATACAAGTCCAGGCACATATTAAAAGGTGTCTCAGTAGAAATGCCTTTGCTCGATCAGTCTGACCATGTTGTTGTCAATACTCTTCAGAACTGTACCCTTCTAAAAACGATCACTCCTAAAAAAGGTCCCTCCTAAATAAGTCCTGTATGATACGCGATAATTTTGCGTTGGTGAATGGAGCGTCATTTCATTTCTTGGGGTGTAGTTTTATGCCGTATTTTAGTGTTTTACATGCTGCTGTTTTGTATGTGTTTCGAGGAGAAACTTCGCCTA